AAGAAAATCCCACTTTTTATGAGACTAACAGGTCTGCAGGATACTCAGTCAAGCTACTCTTTATTTCATATATTTAAAAAAAACTAATTATGCAAAAACAAAGCTAATAACACAAGTTATTACAATAAAAACCTCTTACTAACAACCGCATCATCTAAATAATTTAGTCTCCGCTACAAGAACCAGATAAAATGTTGATTATCAAGACATAATTTCATTATACAGTAAGACTGGAACAGCAGGGTTAGTTACTTTTAAGCATTTAAAATTAGGGAATTCAACATTGATTTTTCTACTATTTACTTTTTCTACAAGGCCCCTAAATTACTTCTATTGCCCCAGCAGTTTCCAAAAGCACCTTCCAAGGACACCCCTTTTTGGCTTTCACTTGGGGAATTCTTCAGTAGTTTCAACGTTTTATCAATGCTGCATAAGGCAAGTCTGAAGCAAGAAGCAGGTTGTTTAAAACACCATCAGCACATTTAAAAGATGACACCTGGGTTCTGTAACGGATCATACTTTGTCTTGCTCATTTGCACACTTATTAATGTGCACATATGAAAATGAACAAACCTTATGCTCTATTACTATTCTTAAGAATATGAGCTGCTTATCCTTCTTCTCAAGCCAATATGCAAAAATCTATTTTTAGTGCTCATACTATGAATTGAGCAAGTAATCAGTAACTCATTTGAATAGAATTTATCCCACTTTTTAAAGATGAAAAGAATTTAACAAGGCACAAATTCTAATGAAGATATTTTTCCACTAAAATTATTAGGATTGAGCCTACAATCTGTTTAGGTTCGTATATGACTCCCATCACACAAGCCACAGAACAAACCATCAGATGCTAAGGACTTTTGATCACTACCATCCTGCTTCCAATTCAAACTACTGACCTAGTGGTGAAAGGCTGCCCCACTATCAAGTTTTTGAGCCAATCAATCCCATTATATTGCTCCCACTTTTAAACAAAAGACATGGATTGGCTGAGGTCCTTGAGAGATGTCCATCACTAGTAATCACAAACCAGATCACTCCCTCCTATGGGAGCAACAATGAGGCAGTTATGAAACTTCTTGCTAGATTTATCCGGTCATTTGGACAGGGCCCCTCCCCAACTACAGTGGATAAAGCACTGGATTTGGCTCCCAAAGCCTGCAGGTCTCAGGGAAATCAACTGAAACCCTAGGGCTATCCACACAGAGGCTCTATGCATCAAAATACCTTTGGGGCCTCATCATGACAGTACGGCTCCACTACCTCACTGCTCTTTGAACACCGCCCACCTTATACCGAAGTGTAGGATTTCCAGGGACAGAGAGCACTACAAAAAGGGTAATGCAGCCTGATTCCCTGTGGGATTGTTTCGGTGTATTGCCATGGCCTGCTCATACTCCATGATCTCTCCCCTCCCACCCTTCCATGCTATATGAGAAAAATATGTACTTTCCATGCTCATCCAGGCTTGGAGATATACTTTAACAGCAGTTACCTCCAATATGGGATGAAGAATGATGTTTTATTATTGGAGTTTAATATGTAATGCCTTATGTTGAGTAGTTCTAATTTTTTTTTATATATTATATATATACACACATACATACATACATACACACACACACACACACTTTATATATATATATAAAATATATATATATAGTCCAGCAATAAAAATGAGACACTGCTAGAGTCCCTTCCCAAGAATTGTATAAAACAATCTTGAGCAAACATAGGATGAAGTATGTTTACTTAAAAAATAAACAGGTAATATACCAAGGTATTGACTTTACCACAGTATTTACTGAATTCATGTTTTTATGTTTTTGTTTTAGACTAAGGGTATGTCTACCCTACCCACTGGATCGGCGGGCAGCGATCGATCCAGCGGGGATCGATTTATTGCGTCTAGTGTAGACACGATAAATCGACCCGAGTGCTCTCCCATTGACTCGTGTACTCCAGCGCCGCGAGAGGTGCAGGCAGAGTCGACGGGGGAGTGGCAGCAGTCAACTCACTGCAGGGAAGACACCACGGGAAGGCGATCTAAGGACGTTGACCTTCGCTCT